ATGGACATGGGCCGGGCATGTAGCACGTAGACAAGATAACCGCTGGTCGTTAAGGGTAACTCACTGGAACTCCAGAGAAGGCAAGCGGGTTAGGGGGAGACAGAAGGTTAGGTGGGCAGATGAGATTAAGTTTGCGGGTATAAATTCGCTGCATCAAGCACAGGACCGGGTTAACTGGCGGAACATGGGAGAGGCCTTTGTCCTGCAGTGGACGTAGTCAGGATGATGATGATGATGATGATGATCATGATGATTGGTTATGTCACATTGCCCTCCCAGTGTATCAAAGCCTCATTGTATGCGCATAATGCCTGTAGAGCTTGTTGTAGGTTGCTCGGCAGGACTTGCTGCCTCAACACTTCCCACAAAAGTCTGTGCTCCACGCAGTCGCATGCGCGCGATATATCGAGAAAGGCCATCGTTAGGGTTCTTTTTTCTCTTGCCGCAATCTTCATGGATTGTGCAACAACAAACAATATATCTTCCAGGCATTGTGCTAGCCTGAAGCCGTTTTGAAGTCCCCCTAGGACTTCCTCTTCCCAGAACATCATGCGTTGTCGCAGCATGCTGCAGAAGAGCCTGTATAATACAGAGATGCCTGCAATTGGCCGATAGAGATTTAGGTGGCGTTTATCGCTGCCCTTTTTCAGGATTAGCCGGATGCGTGAGCAGTTCTAGCTTTTCGGGATCTCGCCACTCAAAAGCACCCGTTTGAGGATAGCGAGGAGTAGATGCCGAAAAGTTGAGCCCATCCTCTTGAGAAGCAGTGCAGGTATTCTGTCTAGACCTGCAGCTGTGCTTCCACACAAATGCCTCATAGCTCATTCAAGCTCTCCAGCCGTTATTGTGTCACTTGCGCTGAGCAACTCTTGGTCTCTCGGTCTGTATCTACTGCTGCGTTTGCCATAAAAGAACGACATGGTTGTGAACTGCATAAGCGAGTATTTAAGTTTAAGGAGGCAAAAGGTTGTTATCAATAGTAAGTCATCCCGGGAAGTTGTGTCCTCTAGAGTGGCTCAAGGGTCAGTCTTGGGTCCACTATTGTTTCTAATCTACATAAATGACATTTGTTCCAGTATTTCATCACATATCAAATTATTTGCTGACGACTGTGTTTTGTACAGGCTTATACGTAGCTCCATTGATTTCACTACTCTTTAAGACAATCTTGACACAGTTTCTGAATGGTGTGAAAAGTGGCATATGTTGATTAATGCAAAAAAAGTGCATATGTGTTTCTCTAGAAAAAAAGTCACAACAAGACTCATTTGGTGGGCGAAGCCTTCTCGTCACTCGCCCTTGGTGTTGGACTTTCTTGGGCGCCGATGTTGGTATCCATATTGGAGGCCGCCCTCTCATCTTTGGGTTTCCTTTACCACCACCTTCATCACCCTCTTCCACCTTGTTTGCGGGGGTTATAGCTGGTTCTGTGCCTTTCTCTGGACTGCCACAGCAGCAGTGATGCACAGCCTGCACTGCGTCATGCTTGGCCTGTAGGTTCTCTAGCAGTTTCTGTTCCTCCCCAAGCACGTCCTCTATTGACCGGCATTCCGTCTCCCACTTGGCTGCTTTTTCATCGAGTTTCAATGCGACGTTCGCCACCGCGATTTCCCAGTTTTCAGCCTCCTGCTTAATCCGTCTGGTGAAATTGGCTTGGATAACATCCAAAATCAAGGTCACTGCATCTTGCCTCAGCCTTTTCAATGTATGTAAATTGAGTGTGCTCCAATGCAATCCATACCCTACATCGCCAACATATCACCCATGGGTTGTCGGCCCTCTCCACGCTCTTCGACCATCGCGTCTGCCTTGTCTTCTATGAAGGAGGCATGTCTTGGTGGACAAATCATTGGTTTTGACTGGTTTCGGCCGAAGTGCTCGCCAATCACTGCACATACACACGCAATCCCCAGCCACCTTCATTACACACGCTCGCCATCCATCAGGACCCGTACTACTCCGGCGACGGCTTGTAGCTTGCCGGACTTGTCACTGTCAATGCCATGCCATGATATAAGGCGTTGTATGCATTAATGCTGCAGATCATCATTAGTGACCACGCTCACACTGCCTGCCATACAGCTGCTTTTTTGCAAGTTTTTGCAAGGGCGTTTAGCACAGCGTGTTTTTAGCACAATGTTGCCAGAGCAAAACACACTTTCTGCTACAAACAGAACTTCTGTCTTTTGAAAGCTAAAATGCCGCGTCTGTTGTAAAATATATCACCCCACCACGGTGGTCTAGTGACTAAGGTACTTGGCTGCTGACCCGCAGGTCACGGGATCAAATCCCGGCTGTAGCGGCTGCATTTCCGATGGAGGCGAAAATGTTGTAGGCCCGTGTACTCAGATTTGGGTGCACGTTAAAGAACCCCAGGTGGTCAAAATTTCCGGAGCCCTCCACTACGGCGTCTCTCATAATCATATAGTGGTTTTGGGACGTTAAATTCCACAAATCAATCAATGTTGTAAAATATATCATGCACAACGGTAGTATTGAAGCCATGTAGCAAAAAAAACCTGTTCATTGAAGGAAGAGACTGCGGCAACAAGTTTTTGTCAACTTGTCTGAAAAAAAGATGCAGCAGCATGCGATTGGCTGCACATTAGTTCGCAGCCGTAAGCCATGACAAGTCATGTCGCTCTTTCATCGTTTTAGTCGGCTCTTTCGACCTCTCCTAACCTCCTCTATATCCGTCTTTGATCTCACTATGGTGACGTCAGCTTGTTGAGGGGAGGGTACGGGAAGGCCTTTTGTAAATCTAGGTGGTGTTGGCCAAGCGCGCTGCTTTTCTAAAAGGTAACGACTCATTTCGTGTTGAACTGAAGCACCACATTTGTGTTAACGTGTGCTTGTGCCAAATAGACCTAATTTTGCTGAAATAAACGCGCACAACCACGCTGCTCTATTCATTGTAGACTTGCATTTAAAGACCGGTCGCGGTTGACACGATAAGGATTTGCGAGTTTGCATTTTATTTTAGTACACATAGCCTTACGAAGCACATTGCAAGCGGATTCTCCTATTTGTGGGAAGCAACACAGCATTCCTACAGCCACATGCAGCTGAAACTTTTCTGCAATGATTGCGGGCAAACGCGATAGTCACACACACGCGCGTGCCTCATTCAGAGTTGTAACTAGGTAAACTTTCACACGAGAAAAAGTTTCTCATCGGCACGATCCTAATATTTATTGTGAAAATTTTGTGCGGTTGTCACACGGTGCACAATTGAACGCCATCGAGCCAACACGGGTGAAAATTATGAATTATTGGCTAAGTTCCACAGCTTCTACAAAGAGGTAAACCGTGATAAAAAAACGCAATCCTGACCGAACTCGATTACCATATAGCAAAGGCACTACGCGGCAGCTGTGTTATTTTGCGCCCTTGAATGAGCATGCTGCGAGGTACGTACGTCTTGCGTACCGTCATCTAAACGGCTATTTCATGTTTCAGTAAAAATGTCAGTGGCCAGATTTTTTTTAAGCTTCATTCATAAGCTGTGTGATATTTCACGGCAGCTATTAGAAGATGAATCAGTTTTCAAATCAAAACAACATTGAGAAGTGACAGTGGTTGCGGGCCCATTCTACCAACGAATAAGGAAGGAACCATGCGAGCTGAAGTTGCGGACGGCAGGGGCGTCGGCAGAAAGTTTTTCCGGAGGGGGCACCACCTTACTTGGGGGGCCGGTCAGGCAGATGCGTCGACTGTTATTTCATGGGGAAATACTGGGGGGGGGGGGGAGCGGCGCAAGGCCTTGGTGTGCCACCTCAAGGCTACGTCACTGGCGAATAGAAACCCTTGGGGTCGGGTATATATAGACACACCGGCGGAAGAAAGCAGGGGGTGGCGCAGTCTGCGCAAAAGTTATATTGGCGAGAGAAGTAGTTTTAGGAGACTGGAGCAGCACATGTATGATGTATGAAAGAATGATTGATTGATATGTGGGATTTAACGTCCCAAAACCGCCATTTCGACCACCTGGGGTTCTTTCGACCACTTTGGGTTCTTTAACGTGCACCCAAATTTGAGCACGCGGGCCTACAACATTTCCGCTTCCATCGGAAATGTAGCCGCCACAGCCGGGATTCGATCCCGCGACCTGCGGGTCAGCAGCCAAATACGATGTAAGAAAGAAGGTTTCATCGAACGCGCTGCGCGAAAACGCCGAAGAAAACACGCCATGAAATAGACAGGAATAGGGTTGGATCAACAAATATTAAGGCAAATAACTGAAGTTCTAGGCTTTATTTTGACTCTCTGACAATGCAGACGACGGCGCATATTCTTAAATGTAATGACGGCAACTTGCCCACATGTACGCGCGTACGTCGTATTTTAAAATGTACATAATCTGGCTGTTTGCACATTTGTTTTTTCTTTGTGAACAAGCCTCCCATGCAGTAAGTGAAACGTTTTACTTTTATGTGAAAAATCGTGGTCGCTGCTCATTTCATCCCCGTGGGCTTGAATTAACAACCATAACAACATAGAAAGAGAGAGGTGACAGTGGCACTGCCAACGACCGTGACAATGGCGTCACGTACGTAGTGCGCTGTTGCGCGGTGCCAATAATTTTGACTGCAACTTTCCGGATTTCATAGCCTGTAAAAGTCCACACACATAAAGTGAGAGCAAAACAACGCTGTTTAAATGTGAAAACAGGGCAAACTCGCAGTTAAAAACACATCGAACCGCCAGCTTTCCTTCGCCAGAGCGATGCAAGATCACGTGATCCAACCTTGCACGTCACCGCGCTTTCTGACTATGCTGAAGATCTGTGGCAAGGTCCCTTGAAAGGCTCCAAAATTAAGCGTTGTAAAATGTGTCCTCCTGCCCCCCACCCCTAAAAAAAGTCAAAGGAAATTGAGACTCCAGTCGAGGCATAGAAACCTTTCGTCTCTTATTGCTTTTATCGAGGATCTTCTACTCAGTCTCTACTACGCAGGGAAACAAAAAAACCATTGCAGTGCACGTGTTTACATATTTCCCAGGTGAGAAGCCTCACAAGTGCGTGGTCTGCGGCAAGGCGTTCAGTCAGTCGTCCAACCTCATCACGCACACGCGCAAGCACAGCGGATTCAAGCCGTTCGCGTGCCGCATGTGCGGCTGCGCCTTCCAGCGGAAAGTGGACCTGCGCCGGCACGTCGACTCACAGCACTGCGACGCACCGGCCCTGCCGCCGCTCGCCGTGGCGCCGGCCGATTGGACGGCCGCCACATCGTCGGCAGCCGCCAGAGTCTGCGTGCCGCAGCCGAACACACGCCTCGCCTGAGCACGCAAAGCGTAGCAAAGCCTTTTTAGACACCGTTAAAGCGAGACAGACGTAGTCCAATGAAACCCGAACAGCGGCAAGCCTTCGCGGACACCGGCCACTTATCACAACGAACAGGCACGCATACATGCGCAAAGCTGCTGAACAGGATGCGCGCGCCTGCCAATGGTCGACGGCACGCACTACGCTATTGCAAAGGCTTCCCGTTGTTCCGGTTTCACGCTGATAGTATGATTTCGCGAAAATTATTAGAAATAACAAGGCACATTTCTCCGGCTAAAGTCAGCGTTAAGATAATTGATTGATATGTGCGGTTTAACGTCCCAAAACCACCATATGATTCTGACAGACGCCGTAGTGGAGGGCTCCGAAAATGTCGACCACCTGGAGTTCTTTAACGTGCCCCCAAATCTGAGCACACGGACCTACAACATATCTGCCTCCATCGGAAATGCAGCTGCCACAGGCGGGATTCGACCCCGCGACCTGCGGGTCAGCAGCCGAATGCCTTAACCACTAGACCGTCGCGGCGGGGCCCAACAAAGGGGAATCGACGCAACAGACGCCATGACAAAAAGAATTTGCTCACAGCCGCAGTAATATAGTATTCGCTTTTTCCTTGGCCATTGTTACGAAGCGCGCCTCCGACGAAGTTACGAAGGGCGCCACGATTCTCACCGCTGCTACCACTGTTTCGAAAGACGGCGACGCCAACACGGTCCCGAAGGCGCCACTGCTCCGATCTCTACCGACATGGTCACCAGCCATTTGGTAGCGTAGGTTTCTCAGCTCGCGACAACTTCTGCGCAGAGCTAATAGACGAGCGGACGATACGACGGGGAGTTAAACAAGGTTTATGTACAGCATATATACAGAGGTGTTACAAATTCGGCACTGGGGCCGACAGCTTAGAGACCCGAAGAGCCCAGCTTTCCTCTCTAACACCTAGGTCTGCTGCTCGCGACGCGCCGCAGGGCTTCTTCATATGCACCGGGTGGATTCTTTGAGTAATCAAATGTCCAACCAGAAGCGTCGCTGGTCATGAGGTCAGAATCCTTCAATGGGGTCGCCGCTGGGCCGTGTCATTCTCATCGAATTTGGAGCTGCTGCGTTGCACGTGGCTGCACCCAAGGACGAGTGACCTCGCCGCGCATTGCATCAGACTCGCCAGACAGGAATGCGCCGGCTGGCTGGCTGAGGTGACTCACTGCACGTGCGCGGCAGAAACGCACCGCCGCGTAATGACGCCGTTGAGTTGTTCGCGTCAGGCGGGCTCGCGGGCTGACCTTGACACAGATTGCCTTTTTCAGAGGCATGGACGTTCACTGTGGACTTGCAGGCATAACAGCACCCCCGCCACCAGACAATGCGCCGGAAAGACAAGCTGCTTCCATGTGGCTCGGATGTCAGGCGTTCTCGTTCGCCAGGTCCCTCCAGGTTCGCCTCCAGGGCCATGGGGAGAATGCAGCTCCAGACTCTGTTCCGGGAACACATCCCATTCTTGAGGACGGATCCCAGCTCCACTAGCTTGTCGTCACAACTTGTCGACCAGCTTCGCTCGTCTCACGATCTTTGGTTTCAGCACTTGTCGATGGTTCTGCAACTTGTCAAGAACGGTTCGACAACAGACAACACACGAAACAAGCAAGTGCCTTCGGTCACCCGAGAGAACACCAGACAAAGTATAGCACAACATATACCTAGCTACGTGTCTATCAGAATTTCGTTCCCTCTACATCAAGAGGCACTTGTGGCACACATGACTCTTAAAATGACAACTCAATTTTTACACGTACAATAACGTAACGAAATAGAATACAACATAAAGTTGGCTCCTTCAGCTCATTCTGGACGAGAGCGCTCAGCTAAGGCCGTGATAAGGACAAAAGTTTGCCCCGAATCACCAGCGAGAAACCGAAAGGTGGAGAAGGTACTAACTAAACGCACGGCTCAATGCGTCTGCATTAGCATTTAGCTTTCCTTTTTTTAGCGAACGTCGAAGTTGTGCCGTTAGAGTATCATGCTCCACCTCAGTTACCAGCCACTTTAAGGCGACGATACCTATGCGGTACTAAGGGCTGCTTGTACTTGTGACGTTTCACATCTGTGTGACAACAATATGGGAGTCCAGATTTCTCATAAAAAGAAACATTCCTTCTCTGGTCCTCCTTCTGGACTTCACTTAACCTAGGCTCTAGGTTCAACTGCTCCAAGATTACCTCCGATCCCCTTTCGATTACATCCCTAAAACTCAAAATTTCCGCTCCCTCTTCCTCTGAAGCCTTCAACAGCAGATTTACGACCACTTGACGTTGAACGTGTGGTTTTATCAAGTTACTGTGGTAAATTTCGTATGGCCGCCTTCCCAATTTCACTTCATAATTGGTACCAGAAAGCTTTATGAGTGCCTTCCACTCTTCCGCAGATTTCCCCGCTCTCTGACAAGTGTCGCATGAACGTACGAAGTCTTCAATATCCTTCCAGCATTTTGGCCAATAAAACTCAAGGGAAACTCTAGCCTTGGTCTTTTTTATGCCGAGATGCCCTGCTCATGCGTTTCCATGCGCCAGTTCTAAAAGTTGGCGACGATACTTTTGTGGCAGCAAGAGCTGCTCATACTTGCGACCTTGCGCATTTGTGTAGCTCCGATACAAAAGCCATGCTTTCTCAAAAAAAGAAACATTCCTTTTCTTTCATTCTAAGTTTACGCTTTCCATTAGCGCTTTTATCGAGAGGTCCTCACGCTGCTTTCAAATGAGCGTTTCTCGATCAACCCTCGACAGCTCACTCCAACTTTCCGCTACAGGCGAGAGCGGTGCACCCCTTTCGCTCTGACTCAATGGCACCATGTCGTCTCCCCCTGCTACGGAAACCACGCCAGTCGCTTCGGTGACGGGCCGCTCGAGTGACGGCTCAAATGACACACACAGAGAATCTTGTGTCTGAGGTTCCGTCGACTCGCCGCCAAGGTCACACAGATCTGCTGCTTTTGAACTTGTTTCACCACATACAACAAGATCAAGCTCCCGCGATAGCTTCCGCGCTTGCGATTCGTGACGGCCATGTACGCTAAGTTGGGAAAGACCGATTTACCCTGCTCTTTGAGAAGCTGCTCTGAGTTGTTAGAGAAAAGATAAGAAAAACTATCGGGAAGCGCGGCAGACACAGCCGCTTCGGTGCGAAGCTTACCGAACGGGCCTTCAATGACAACCGTAGCGATTGGTAAGCAAGCACTCTGCTCCTCGGCTACTTGCCTGATCCATGCGAATTCTCCTGTAAAGTCATCCGCAGACACCAATGAAGGATGGAAAACGTCCAAGGTTGCCGCTGAGTCACGAAGTGCAGGACACGTTTTCCCATTCACACTAATTTCTTAGATATACGGCTCTAACAACCGCATGTTCTTTTTCGATTCTCGGATTGTTGCAAAAGCAAACTTTTGTTTACAGTTTATCGCGATGTGCCCTTCCCTTTTGCAGTTGTAGCAGATTCACGGCTTCCGTTTGTTTTCCGATACTCGGATAGTTGCAAACTTTTGCTTACAGTTTATCGCTATGTGCCCTTTCTTTCTGCAGTTGTAGCAGATTCGCGGCTTCCGTTGATCAGGTTTCTTCGAAAAGCTCTCTTTCCTTTCATCCTTTTCAACGCGCACTGCCCTGCTATGCAACTTTCGGCGAGTATAATACTCCTCATCTAACTCTGCCACCTTGTTTAGCTGTACTGCACGAAGTTTGTCCTGCAGCCAAAGCTTGACATCCTCCTCGATGCAGCAGTAGAATTGCTCCAATGCAATGCATTCTACCACATTATCGTGATCGTCATAATCACCTTCACCCTTGAGCCATTCAATGAAATCGGCTTCAAGACGAAACGCGAAGTCAACGTGTGACTCATTCCCCTTTTTAGCATACCGGAACCTTTGCCTGAAAGCCTCGGGTGACAACTTATAACGTCTCAAGAGCACTTCCTTCACCTCGTCATAGCTCTCAAACGCTTCCCTCGACCAGCAAGTTATCGCGTCGGACACTTCGCCGGGAAGAAGAGCTAAAAGGTTCCGCGCCCAAAGAGAGCGCTCCAAAGCATTTCGCTCACAAACGTGTTCAAACTTGACGAGATACTTCGCCATGTCCTCGCCTACTACGAACGGTCGCAGTTGGTCCCGAATTCTATAACCGCTGATCTGAATCGTCGGAGAAGCTACGCCAGGCGCCTGCGAACACTGTAGGATTGCTAATTCTATTCGTTTCAACTCGAGGCGTACCTGTCTCTCGGCCCCCTCGTGCTCGCGACGTTCGCGCCTTTCAGCTTCTTCACGTTCGCGAGCTTCTCGCCTTTCAGCTTCTTCACGTTCGCGAACTTCTTGCCTTTCAGCTTCTTCACGTTTGGGAATTTCTCGCCTGTCAGCTTCCTCGCGGCGTGCTTTGATATCCTCCCAGGCCTCATCGACTTCCTCAGCCAACGCTCCTTCATCCTTCATGATCTTAAGGATCGCTTGCTTTCGTTTCGCACGGCCCAAAGTAATGCCGAGTTCCTCGCAAATTTCGATGAGTTCCTTCCCTTTAAGGTTCTCCATCGTTCACACTAGCCTCTTGCTGTTTGCCTCTGTTAAGAATTCACTTGCCGTATCCACTATAAGTCTACTAGCAAAACGCGCAAGCAATTTTTAACACTCCCGTGTTTACACCCTCCGCATTAACTTCGGTTTCAAAGTGCTTCGACTTGGCTTGAAACAATCAAAGCTCACTCTAATGCTTCACATAGCCCTTTTCTAAACTACTATAACCTGAGCTAGAGTAGTCTGGTGAACTGAGGGGAAAACATCAGGCACTCACCACATCGATGTCGCTGACGCCGGCCGATCCCGCAGCTGCCAACCACTGTTACAAAGCACGCCTCCGACGACGTTACGAAGGGCGCCACGAATCTCACCGCTGCAACCACTGTTTCGAAAGACGGCGACGCCAACACGATCCCGAAGGCGCCACTGCTCCGATCTCCGC